GAATTGCTCGCGGGTTTTTTAACTGTAAAATGCTCACTTTCAGGCGTTATTTTTCGTTTCGGTTTACGGTTCAGTTCGCGCACCGTGCCGATGTGTGTTATATAGCATATCATTTTCCTTACACGTATTCACTACTTCAGGTAATCGTTGCTTCCGTTAGCAAAATGAAAAAAAAAAATTGAAATTTTGCGAAAAAAACGGAAGCAAAGTAGGTGCAGAGAATTTGACAAAAGTTTTAATACGTGACCTAGATTAGATATTTTGGTCCGCAAGGTTCTCAGCCTTTTATATCCTTTCTTTATCGTTTTCCCACCAAAATTGTGCATATTTCTGAAAACAATTTTTAGTTGATGCATTTTCCGAAAGTTTAGCAACTTTTCGGTTTATGGTTTAGTTAGCTTTCGCCAAAAATGTGTTTCATTTGCTAATTCATTTATTCATTAATTTTTTAAATAAATCTTGCTTTTTTGTTAAAGATATTGGAGATGTAGGAATTCTAGCGCAAATGCGATCTGAAATACTGTGTACCCTTACAACTGCTATAACAGCTCATTGCTGCTATACAATGCATTTTAATATCTTTAGAAGACTTGAAAAGGAGATGGAAGGACCACGCAAAATACCGAGTTTTATGCTCGACTTTTTGTCTAGAATGCATTTGTTAAAAGGAGCATTCTGTCACTCGTCGCCTATACCACGTGTGGGTATCCGACGGCCGGCGAGGGAATCGGAATGTGGTGCCTAACGAGACAAACGGGGGTTTGTATTCTGTCACGCCTCTGCATTCTCATGAAAATAAATAAAACTAAAATACGCACGAGGCTAACAGACGACAGTATAGAAAATAATGTGCGACTCTGTGTCAGTGATATAGATCCAGATTTCAACAATCTTATGTCAAAAGTTCAAGCTCAGAGTTCATACTAACCTGCTGTTGTTTACTGAACAAACAGTCTGATAAAAAGTTATCTATTTTTATGCGTTTTTGCATCTTATGCATATGAAAAACGCATAATTTCGAAAGTCTGTGCGACCCCCTTTTTCTCCGCATGCAAGAAAAGACCAAAACACAGGCACATAAGTTGCATGTGTTAGACTGTAGAGCAACAGGCAGCGTAGGGGCAAGGTTGGTGCGTAGTTACCTGAGTTTTGCTAAAAGGTGGCCCGTGGGCTTCAGTATGTAAATCAAGCCTCCGTTTTGGCAAAGGTTGGCTATGCCTGGTTTAAACGATTTAATAATAGTAGGTAGTATGGCGGTCTGTTACACTGCTATAAAACTGAGCAAAATTTCCCTGATTCGGTGTTTTTTCGTACTGTTATTAAAATTGGCTTCAGCTTCCACTTGAATTATTCTCAGACTTTGGGGAAGCTTGGCAGTGGATAGCCATCGGTGCTTTCTTTATTCTTTCTCTGTTTCTTTCATGGCCGGCTGAGTGCTGAAAAAGTTTTGAGTTTTTAAAACACTGAATATAGAATTACAGGCCACGTTGGAAAGGCATTTAACAACAAGAAAAAGGCGGCTGTTTGTTCGTTGTGATAAACTGTGTACAACGTTAGCTGGTAATGAAGTACCGCTTCTTACAATAACAGCCAGTGGCACCAGAGAACAAATCGAGGCACGTCAGATTGCTGTCCTTTGTGCCCGAGTGCATCCTGGAGAAAGCAACTCGAGCTGGGTCATGCACGGTAATTTTGCGGCTCATTTTATAAGTCTAAAATTTTGGACTTAATTACAAAAATGCCTCATTTCTCTTCAGTGCACAAATGCAGTGATGCGTCTGAACTCATTTCTCTGTTAAAGGTGTCATTGATGTGCTGATGAGCGAAGAGGATAAAGCTGTCCATCTCCGTAATCAATATGTGTTCAAAATTATACCGATGTTAAATATCGATGGAGTAGTGAACGGGTCGCATCGATGCAGCCTTGCTGGCGTGGATTTGAATCGTACCTGGGATCGTCCGTCCCCAGAATTGCATCCTCCTATTTTTCATACTAAAGCTATTGTACAGTATATGGTAGGTTCACTTTGACCGTGCCTGTTGATCACAGTTGTCTTATAATCTTTTAAAATAACTGTGTCTTTCGGTCCTCGTCGGTCCAGAATAGCACAGCGGCAGCGATCGGGCCGAATTCCGAGACATCACTTTAGGTTATTCTCATTGAGTGGGGTATTACCTTCCTTTATTGCGTGTCCTCTAAACATAAATCGCTCGGACGTTTGGAGAAATTGCTGTAATACAGGTGTGAGTAGCAGAAACCTTAGGACTGTAACAAACTTTTGATTTCCTAGTGTCGCTACTACCCAAGTAGATATTTTCCTAGCTTCTCAACTCAGCAAATGTTTACTGATATAGCTTGCAAGCGGGTAAATATCCTCTCTTGGACAGCGTAAGGTAGAGAATCCTAGAATCCTGGAAGGAGCCTTGGCAACATTATTTCAGAGATCACCTGGATATATTCATTAGCAGAAACCCAAATAATTTTTTAAAAGAAATGCTGAAAGTATTTTTATATGAATAATTTGTATTGCACGATGGCATAGTAAGACGCAAAACATCAGTATAGCTTTGATGTAAAAGAAAATCAACTGAATTATTCAGTTGCATTTCAGGTGGACGTGCTTGGCAAGAAGCCTTTTGTATTCATCGATTTGCACGGTCACTCCCAGCACTTTAATGTATTTCTCTTTGGAAATAATCCAGAGGAGTCATGGCTTTTTTCGGATTATTTTCTTCCTGGCAGCTGTGATTTCATGTCACTTCCATCGCTTCTTGAAGAGGCATGAACAGTTTTATTAACCAGCCTTTGAGCGTTTGGTTCTCATTGATTTATATTCGTGTTTAGTAAGGCATATAGTTTTCTGCTAGACAGCTTGCCGACTGAACTCGTTTTTGCCGTTTTTTTTTGCCGAAGCTGCGTGATATGTGTGGAATTTTTGGTAATACAGTTAAATATGTGTAACTTTAAGGGACTGTTTATATCTCAGAGGTTTTTTTCTTCAGGAATGTGATTATTTTTCGTTGTCCAATTGTCGATTTAGCATCACTAGAGAGAAAGAGTCATCAGGTCGTGTGACGCTATGGCGACAGTTTGGTGTCACTCGTTCATACACCATAGAGTCAACCTATGCTGGCTTTAACACTGGTCCTCGAAAAGGTTTTCAGGTTGGTATTTGATTTCTTTAGTTTTATAGTTTTCTTTCAGTCGCAAAAAATCCATGTTTTCTTCTGTTCCTCTTTTCTATTTTTACGAGAAAGAAACCTTTGTGATTTAATTCGAAAATGCATTGTTATAGTGCAGTGCTGTTTGCTTCTAACTGCGTTCTGTTTCCAAAAAATTCTAGTTTCTTTCGCAAGAGGTGCGAACTGCGGATTTTTCGCACGTTCCTCTTTTCTTGTCTTGATTTTTGTATGGTCGTGGAATATGCACACTGAATCAAAAAATTCTGTGCATTTATTTTATGATGCTTAGTGGACATTTAGATAAATGCGAACAATGTGTTCATATGAACTCAGCTAATTTTCAGGTAAATATTGAAGATTTATTGGAAATAGGCAATCAGTTATGCAAAGCATTGAAGCAACTTATGTACATTGGTGCGAACTGGTCTTTAGTCTAATGGCACGGATCAAAGAAATCCTCCTTTTCTCTGTTTTTTTGCTAAACCAGTTGATAATATGTTTCTTTCCTTGTGCCGTTACAAATAGCACTCTTTATGTACATTGTTCTCGATTTTTCTGATATGTAAGTTCGGTAGCAAAAATAGAAAGAAAAACAAGCTACGATTGTAATTATGAAGAGATTAAATTTTTTAAAAGCGAACCCCCTTCTCAGTGCAGATGTTCAGGGGGTTTTTTTGTTTCAGTTCGCTTTTTTGTTTGCGTTTAGAAAATCTGTGACCAGCCTGTAAATGTTGTTTGCCCACACAGCCTCAGAATATTCTTTGATCATTTCTGTTCAGAACTGAATGCTGCATGAAACATATGAGATTTGTCAATGATAATGCTGCGCGGTGAATCACGCCCATACGGAGCACACTTTTCATGTTAGTATAAAAGTACTGTCGGTCGCAATTTTCAAACTTTGCTCGAAGCGTTTTAAACTTTAAATTCTCAGTGACTCTAACTTAACCTGAAGAGACGCTTGAATCAGATAAATCAACGCCAAAACCGAATAGAAGATTTTAAAAGAACCGTGGTTCTCTTCACTTTTTTGGATAGGGGACATCTGGGCACGCGTGGTGCAACTTTTGTTGTCGGAAGATACTAAGGTTCAAGAAGGAAAGAAAGCGGAGGTTTAGGTTGAGGGTTATCTAGTAAACAAAGGGGATAGTTAGCTGGTAAGTGCAAAATATAGGTGTAAGATGCAAAAATTATATCAATAAACTTTCCTGTGGGACTGCCTAATTTGATGGCAACACACTCAACAAAAACTGACAACAAAAACAGACGGTGGTA